GACATCCGGGAGAACCACGTCCTGGAGGAGCAGGTGAAGCATCATCCAGAAGATGGGCCCCACCTGGCTCTTTGCAAGGCTCACCCGCAAGTAGGAGCCTGTGGAGCCCAGAGGCCTTTCAGGGGCCCTCTGTGTCCCCCTGGTTCTGGCTTCTGCCTGAGCCTCTCTCTGCAACCACTAGGCATCCTTTTAAGCTCCCTGGACCCGCTCCCAGGCTGTGGACCAAATGGAAACAATAAAGCTTTTTTAAAAATATATATATGTTTTGCCGAGACCGGTTTGTCTCAATGGGTAGAGTGTCGGCTTGGAGACTGACGGGTCCCGGGTTCGATTCCGGTCAAGGGCATGTACCTTGGTTGCGGGCACATCCCCAGTAGGGGTTGTGCAAGAGGCAGCTGATTGATGATTCTCTCTCATCGATGTTTCTGACTCTCTATCTCTCTCCCTTCCTCTCTGTACAAAATAAAATATATTTTAAAAAAAAAATATATATATATATATTATTGATTTTTTTACAGAGAGGAAGAGAGAGGGATAGAGAGTCAGAAGCATCGATGAGAGAGAAACATCGATCAGCTGCCTCCTGCACACCCCCTACTAGGGGTGTGCCCGCAACCAAGGTACATGCCCTTGACCGGAATCGAACCTGGGACTCTCAGTCCGCAGGCTGACGCTCCATCCACTGAGCCAAACCGGTTCGGCAACAATCAGGCTTTTTACAGCAAAAAGAAAACATTAGTGTCATTTGGGGTTTTTCCCTTTTACAAACAGGATCCAGTTGAATTAAACCAAAAATGTTGCCAAATGCTAACGAGAAGTTTTCCTACTAAAGACAAGTCATAATTAAATGAAGTGTGGAATTCTAGTCAATAGGAATTCTCACAGGTACTGCATAAAATGCAGCTTTCTGTAATCACAGGAGCACCTAAATTGGCTCATCATCATGTCCTTGAATAGCCAAACCTGCAAAAAAAAAAAGTTTTATAAGAGTTATTCAAACCAGCCGAAGCCGGTTTGGCTCAGTGGTAGAGCGTCGGTCTGCGGACTGAAGGGGGCCAGGTTCGATTCCGGTCAAGGGCATGTACATGGGTTGCGGGCACGTCCCCGATAGGGGGTGTGCAGGAGGCAGCTGGTCGATGTTTTTCTCTCTCCTCGACGTTTCTAGCTCTCTATCTCTCTCCCTTCCTCTCTGTAAAAAAATAATAAAATATATATTTTAAAAAAAAAAAAAAGAGTTATTCAAACCAAACGTTTGAGAGCATGCCCAGAATCAAGGTCTCAGCAGGAGACCAGAAGCCTTTTTCGGTCTTCTAAGCAGCCAAACCCAGTGAGAGTGATGGTCTGGAATAAGATTTGGCTTCTGCTTTTGCCTAAACCAGGAACTCAGTCTTGATTAGAAGAAACAAGTAATCTTCCTTATCAAATCCCGCCTTTCTCCTCCTGGAAAGTGAGAGGTGGAGCTGGGTGGTGTCTGGGCTCTCATGCAGAGTGAGAGTGCCATTTCATACTGAATCAATGGCATCTAAAGGAAGCTTTTTTAAAAAAAATATATTTTATTGGGTGTTTTTTTTTTTTTTACAGAGAGGAAGAGAGAGGGATAGAGAGAAACATCGATGAGAGAGAATCATCAATCAGCTGCCTCTTGCACACCACTGGGGGTGTGGCCTACAACCAAGGTACATGCCCTTGACCGGAATCGAACCTGGGACCTTTCAGTCCACAGGCCGACGCTCTATTCACTGAGCCAAACCGGTTTCGGCCAGGTGATTTTTCTTGACATCGCAGACAGGATGTCTCCATTCTGCACTCCTCCGTTGGTGGCATGTGTATCTACGTTTGTCACTGCACTTCGTGGAACCGAAATCACTGTTTCCACCTTCAAAATGCATACCATGTTCTTTGGTAATTGCCCTTTCCTGCCATGTCCCCTAAGGTGGCTAACTCTACTCTAGATGCTTACTGGCTGCTGAGAGTGAAGGCACAGGGGAAACAGGAGGTACCGAGGCAGGGAAGAGACCCAACAAGGATGTGTGGGTGCAGCATTGGCATCGTCCGCGACATGGGGGGAGGTCAGCATTTGCCTCTCTGTAGCGGGCAGATCCTGCATGGCTGCCTCAAGGGTTACATGGAGGGGACCGGACTCTATCCTGAGGGCACTGGGGAGGCTCCCGAGGGTTTTAAGCGAGGGGATGTGAGGCCATATGTTTTAGAAGGATCCTGCTGGCTGCTCTATGGGGGATGTCCCAGAGAGGCAAGACTGGCATCAAATGGTCCAGTGAGGGGCTATTGCTCTAACCCAAGAAAGGGCTGGTGGTGCAGCCATGTGGATGAGAGAGGCAGGTGGTTTCTGCTTCCTGTGGCAGTGAGAGATCACTGGGGCTAAATCCTGGCTCTGCCGCTTCCTGGCTATGAACTCCGGGCACCAACTTCAGCCTCGTTGTCAGAATTAGGGAGGAATTAAATGTCTCAGTAGAAGTATTCCAATCACGTTCTGGAGGTGAGCTGGGGTGGAGGGGAGGGGAGGGAGAGCTGATCAAGATGACTCTTGGATTTCTGGTTTAAGGAAATGGGAAGATCAGTCAGAAATGACTCACCGGTGGGCATGTCAGGTCTTGAGAGAGATGGGAGGACCTGCTTGGGATACATGCAGGGAATATGTTCAGGCCCTCACATCTCCACCCGGCCGGCTCTGGATCCTGGTCCTCACCCCCAGGGGCAGGGCAGGGTGGATCCAGCATGGGCAACCGGAATGGGAGGGACTGACCGGAAAAAACAGCAGTCCAACTATCTGAAAGGTGAAGTCCAATCAGAAGTGTTCTGTGTGACCCTGGATAAGTCACCTTACTGTCTGGGCCTGAGCTCTCTCACACGTGTGTGAATGGGGGAGACACCTGTGGGCAGGCCTGGTCTTCCAGACACTGAGAGCTGGGTGACCTCCTGTTCCTTTGAGGTCCCACTCACCTGCTCCCTGTCACCTCTCCTGGTTCCCAGCCCCAAGCCAGCCCTCTCCTCTCTGGGTTCCCAGAACCTCCACTTTGAGCACAGGCTGGGCTGTGTCTGGTCCCTGCCCACCCCAAAGCCCCCTGGAACCGGCTGGCACACTCAGGCGCTCCCTGAAAGGAGCCAGCTCAAACCCAGGGCTCGTCCCAAACTTACGAATCTGCTGTCACGGGATTGCAGTCCTCCTGGTGGAAAGTCCGAGCGAGAGGCAGAAGAAAGGAATCCAGACACACCCAGGGACTGCACGTGGACAGCCACAAATGGACACCATTCACCAAGTATTTTTTTTTATATTTTTATTGTTGTTTTTTTTTACAGAGAATAAGGGAGAGAGATAGAGAGTTAGAAACATCGATGAGAGAGAAGCATTGATCAGCTGCCTCTTGCACACCCCCTTCTCGGAATGTGCCCGCAACCAAGGTACATGTCCTTGACCGGAATCGAACCCGGGACCTTTCTGTCCCCAAGCCGACGCTCTATCCATTGAGCCAAACCGGTTTCGGCCATTTATTAAAATCCTTATAGTGGAAGCAAGTGGGTGTACTTTTCCTGAGTAGTTCCACATACACAGAAAAGTGTTTGGAGATACTTTTTGAGTCAGCCAGCCGGGAGAAAGTCATTCTTTAGCATGGAATAGCTGTCCTTGGAATTATTCAACTTCTAGAATCGCAAATTCATTCGCTTTTTCCTTTCAATGTCATTCATTCCCTTGCACACAACACTGCACTGATCTGACCACCGAAGACCTGTCATTAACAACCACAGGTTACTTGTGCTTACTAAATCTGGCTCTGTTATTAGACATAATTGGCTAATCTCACTTAATCCTCACCAGAGCCCACAGGAAACCTTGCACAAGAGATGAGGAAACATTCATGAAAGTGAAGTGGCCTCGCTGGCACGGCTCAGTGGTTGAGCACAGACCTATGAACCAGGAGGTCACGGTTCCTCTCCTAGTCAGGGCACAGGCCTGGGGTGCTGGCTGGGTCCCAGTCTGGAGCGTGCAGGAGGCAGGTGATCCATGATTCTCTCTCATCATTGATGTTTTTCTCTCTCTCTCTCCCTCTCCCTTCCTCTCTGAAACCAATTAAAAAATATATTTTTAAAAGAAAGAAGAAAAGAAAGAAAGAAAGAAAGAAGGAAGGAAGGAAGGAAGGAAGGAAGGAAGGAAGGAAGGAAGGAAGGAAGGAAGGAAGGAAGGAAGGAAGGAAGGAAGGAAAGAAGGAAGGAAGGAAGGAAGGAAGGATGATTTGCACTTAGGGAAGCATTGGGCTAAAGATTGAGGGTTGGCCACCTTGTTACTAGCTTTTATGATGCTAGGGCAGTGGTCAGCAAACTCATTAGTCAACAGAGCCAACTATCAACAGTACATACACTGAATGAAATTTCTTTTGAGAGCCAAATTTTTTTAACTTAAACTATATAGGTAGGTACATTCTTATTAACTTAATTAGGGTACCCCTAAGCTGGCCTTCGCTAAAAACTCAAGGGGGGGGGGGAGATTGGAATGGGGGGGTGGGTTGAGGACAAATATGCGATACCTTAATCAATAAAGAAATTTTTTTTAAAAAAATTCAAGGGGCCCAAGAGCCACAGGTGGCTCGCGAGCCGCAGTTTGCCGACCACTGTGCTGGGGCAAATGACTTTACCTCCATCAGCCATGTCCCCATCTTTCCAAATGGCATAATAGCTGCCACCGGTCCCGAGCTGTCCCCTCGCGACACCTCAAGACCCCTGCAGTATCATCACGGTTCTCCGGGCCCACATGGCCTGGCGGCGCCAACCTGGGCGCGGGCGGACCCGGGCTCCCGCGCCCGCCCCGCAGCGCCCGCCCCGCGCCGGCTCCGACCGCCAGGGGCCGCTGTGGCGCGGCGCGGCGCGGCCGCTCTAGCCCCGCGGGGAAGTCGCTGTCCTTACCTCCCGCCGGAGCCCGCGCCTCCGCGTCTGCGCTGCCCTCGCTCCGTCCTGCTGCTGCCGCCGCCGCTGCCCGCGTGTCCGCCATGGCCCTGCTGCACTCCTGCCGCGTCCTGTCCGGCGCCGCCGCCGCCGCCTTCCACCCGGGCCTCGCGGGCGTGGCTTCTGCCCGAGCCAGGTAAGCGGGGGAGACGGAGCCGGGGCGCCTGGCCTATCCCCCCCCCTGCACACACATACACACACACTTGCACACGCACACGCATGCACACTTTCTCGGATGCATGGCGGCGCCTCACAGTGACCCCTCGGGTCCTACATCCCGCAGGAGAGCGTGCCAACGCGTTCTCCCTGGGTGAGGAAGTGTGGCCCTCCACGGCACCCGGACTGCCTTTCAAGGTGGGGGGGTCACGAGGCGCCGATTCCGCGCGGAGGGAGGGGCGGGGGGTCCGGGGAGAGCCCACGGGCCGCGGCGCGGTCAGGCCTCACGCTCATTGGCTGCGGGGTCCGCGCTGCCTCGCGCCCATTGGCTGCGGCGCCGGCCGGGAACCGGAGCGCCCACGGTGTGCCCTTGACGGGCCACCTGGGGGGCTGCGAGCTCCCGGGTCTCGGCCTCCCCGGGCCGATCGGGGTGTGTGCGGGCCGGCGATCGGAGTGTGCGGGCCGGCGGCTGGCTGCCTCGTGTGTGTGTCCCCGGGAGCAGGAAGTGCCCGGGGCCCCCCCTGCTTGGAGACCCGGCCGGCTATCCTCTCTGCATCCCGTGACCTTGACGCGTAGCATCCTCACGTGTGACCCTTCCCGTCTACCCTTTGGCCTTTGGATGGAGAAGGGTGGGAGTGTATGCACCTCGTTTTTTTGAAGCCTCCTCTTAGGAGATCGAGCCCGAGGGGAGTGGCCGTTCTTTCTCCATCTCACGCTGCTCTTTCATGTAGTCAGTATTTCGTCACCAGAGCTTTAGAAAGCCGGCCAGATCCTGGACCAGATATCAGCTTAGAAGCCCGTGGAGAGGTGTCGCTGGGGAGATTACAAAGGCAGGGCGGGGCAGCCTTCGGTATACCGTTGTTCCTAGGGGGAAATAATACACGAGTAAATAATAATTCAGGAATAAACGCTGGTTTACCTATTCACAGCAGTAAACCTACTTTTACCCCATTCTCTACATTATCCCAAACGAGTGCCTGCAGAGAGAAAGTACAGGGCATTCAACGAACTGGTAATTCCTTCCTCGCGGAGACCTGAGTCAGGCGATTTAATTCTCTCGAGAAGCCGATTGGGGACAGTGCCCTGAAGTACCGCCTAATCTGGAACCGAGTCTCCAAAACACCACCACCAGATAGACATTCACTCCAGCGAGCAGAGCCTTAACCTCTTTCCCATGCCTCGGCCATTTCTTTGCATGGTGTGTGACACCGTTAAGCAGAACTGTTTGACCTTTGCAAAGCCCCACACTCGTGGCAGGAGTTTCTCCCTAGCCTTTCACTCTGTCTTAGCTTCTTGATTTGGTTCCTTCTTGGCTCCCTGTCAGGTGTGCTCTTTTACGTCAGCCTACCTCCTGGCCCAGAATTAGGGAGCGATTATTATTTATGCAGCCAATTTGGAGAAGATGGAAGGGTGCCTAAAATCACGGGCAAGAGAAAGTTGGTTTCGCCACCGCAGTAATGTTAACATGATCTCTTGTTTTAGGGCTTGGTTGGGTGGTCTGTGGTTCTATTTATACTGTTTAGTGGCAGTCCCTGAGGGTGTGACCTTTTAGTCAGGTTTCAGTTTGGGAGCCTGACTCATTTTTCTTTCCCGTCTTTTCCCCCCTTAGAATGTAAGTTCCAGGAAAGCAGAGACTGGACCAGCCTTGTTCCCTGCTGTATCTCAGCACTTAGAACAGTGCCTGCATGTCTTTGAGTTGGAGTATTTTTATTTTAAACATCGATGTGATTTTTTTTTAAATCAGTGCAATAGAAACAAATATGACATTTTAATATTGCATCTTACATAAAAGCCTAAACATATAGAGGAACTGCGGGTGCAAAATGTTTGTTTTTTAATAGTTCGGGCTCTGGCCAGGGAGCTCAGTTGGTTGGGGTGTCGTCCCAATTTGCCAAGGTTGTGGGTTCAATCCCCAGTCCAGGTGCTTGCAGGAGGCAACCGATCTATGTTTCGCTCTCACATTGATGTTTCTCTTTTCCTACCTCCTCTCTAAAAATTAATAACTATGTCCTTCAGTGAGAATTAAAAAAAAAAAAAAAAAACCCTAAGAATTGCTAGGTAGGCTCCCAGGGAAACGGGAAGACACTTAAATCGCAAATGCTTATCTGAATACTTTGTACCTGACATATTTTGGTTGTCTGGCCAGTATTGCTCAATAGCTCGGGCTTTGCTTTGAACTTATGTCCAAAGTTCATGGAGAGGAATCACTTTGTAGGCCACTGGTTGTCTGCCTCAACTTCATCTCTAGAGCACTCGTTTTTATCAGGTACTATCTCTTAAAAACATCTGTGTTCTTCCAATGTGATAGAGAGTCTTCACCCTTTTAAGGAGTGGAATAGTGAAGGACATGGAGGACCTGAACATAATTACCGATGTAGGACTGATCAAATGGAGTATCCCTGTTCCTGTATTTAGATTTTTTTAAAAATAGATATTTTATTGATTTTTTTACAGAGAGGAAGAGAGAGGGATAGAGAGTTAGAAACATTGATGAGAGAGAATCATCGATCAGCTGCCTCCTGCACACCCCCCATTGGGGATGTGCCCGCAACCAAGGTACATGCCCTTGACCAGAATTGAACCCAGGACCCTTCAGTCCTCAGGCCGACGCTCCATCTGCTGTATTTAGATTTTTAAGGTTGAACATATTCAAATTGCTTTAAGACTTCTTCTTAAAAGATCCTACTATCAATCCAATCTCTGCCGGAAGACAGGATTTCTGTGCCAAATAAACATTTTAAAGAGATGACAAATCAGTGCTCTTCCCATCAGATAACTAAGGTACTTCTGTCCTGTGGTTAGGGGCAGGGGCTCTGTCATCATTGATTGACAACCATGGAGACAGAGCCATCTTTTTTTAAATGAAAATTGCTTGCTAGAAGCTCTACCATATGTCCTTGACATTCAAAGTATTCCTTTCAGTCATCAGCTGGTGACAGTGATACAGACAAGCAGGTGGCTACGTGTCTCCAGAGTCTGAATTGTGGGTAGAAAGCAACAGGAGCTTTCTGCAGGCCCTGCTCAGAAGTTGCTGGGGTACCTGTTTCTTACTGTTGCTGAGATACTGGAGCAACCGGGAAGCCTGGCAGTGCGACTGTTGAGGAGGAAGAATGATAATATCTCCCGAGATTCTAGAAAAGACTGAGGTTATTGAAAAGCAGGAAAAACCTGTATTTTATCATAAAGCCTTGTAACCACGTGTTCCTTAAATTCTCTGCATACTTTCCTCACCAGGCTTAGTGGCACAGAGGTTATAAATAAGAGTGTAGTGGGATAACTTAGTAACAGTGATACCAGCTGATATCAAGTGCTCACTCTGTACCAGGCTCTGCTCTGTTTTATAGTTAACTAGAAGCCCAGTGCATGAAATTTGTGCACGGGTAGGGTCCCCAGGCCTGGCTGCCGATCGGGGCATTCCTTCCCTCAGCTGCCAGCCAGGCCTTCCTTTGTTCCTCGCCACCCCTCGGCTGTCAGCACATGTTATGACGAGCTGTCAAACTCCCAGCGGGCACATTTTGCATATTAGCCTTTTATTATATAGGATAACTCCTTTCATTCTTACAAAAAACAAACCTGTGAGATAAGCAGGGTTGTGCCTCATTTTACAGACTGGCTCTAAAAATGGAAGTATATTCATGCCGGCAAGCATGGCTCAGTGGTTATGTCAAGCTATGAACCAGGAGGTCAGTGTTCAATTTCCAGCCAGGGCACATGTGGCCTCCATCCACAGTGAGACTGTGTAGGAGGCAGCTGATCACTGATTCTCTCTCATCCTCATTGATGTTTCTATTCTCTCTCCCCCTTTTTCTTCCTCTCTCAAATCAATAAAAAATATATTTGAAAAAAAAATGCAAGTATATTCATGTCACTTCCCCCTACCTGATCACCATATTCCTCCCCACCCAAAAAAAAAAAAAAATGATTCCCATATTTTCACTACATCCAAGATTGGGCCTAAAGAAACGTTTTAACAAACTCTCCAAATGATGCCCTTACCAACTTTGGGAACGGGATAAAAAGCCAAGCCCCTTGGGGACGTGGTCACATTATCCTTTCACACTGGTCCTTGCCGGATTCTCTAGTTTCATCTTTTACCATTCTCAGCTTCTCACTGCAAATTTCTGGAAATAGTCTTTGCCTGGGAATTCAGGTCAGGCCGGGGCCGCGTTGAAAACCTACACATGCGCCCTGTTACCCCCAGGGTGACTCGGAGAGGTGGCCCCTCCCGCTTCCCATAGGATTCGTATTGGCATTATTGGTCTTCCCCGCCCTTCTGCGAGGTGCTCTGAGGTCTGATGCATTATTGAATTGTGGTGCCTATTGCTTTACCGTGTGCGTAGCAAACCCGCAACCATGCATTGAAGCGGATTTGTGGCAGGTCCAAGATGTCTCTGGCCATGGGAACCTTGTTTCTGTAACTGATGTCTTTCCCCTTTCAGCTCCTGGTGGGCCCATGTGGAGATGGGGCCCCCAGACCCCATCCTGGGAGTCACAGAAGCCTTTAAAAGAGACACAAACAGCAAGAAGATGAACCTGGGAGTGGGTGCCTACCGGGACGATAACGGAAAGCCTTACGTGCTCCCTAGCATCCGGAAGGTGAGCTTGCCGTCCTCTCCCGCCCGGTTGGGCTAAGAAAACTGACCGCTGGAGTGGGAGTCAGGAGACCCAGGTTCAGGTTCTGGTACTAACTGTTCCCATCAGGTTGACTGAGCCTCAGCCTCCTTGGCTATAAAAGAGCCATTGGAACTGCCTGGTCTTTCTAAGGTTGTATTTCTGTGATTGTCTATGAAGGAGGCATAATGTCATATGTAATTCCGAGTGCGCAAAAGGACCAAGAATTTTATTGCTGTCTTAGTCACAGAATTAGGCCTTTGTGGATGGGTATCACTCTTATTTTCCATTTCTCTCATTGTAATTGCCTTCATAAAACCCGCCTCCTATCGAACTATAGAATAATTTTCTTTATTTTTGTTACATATTTATTAGTAGTCTTGCTATAGTTATAATTTAATCCTTTAAGAACAATTCTCTTTTAAGAAAGTATGTCTTCCTCCTCCGTTGAAATATGAATGTGCTGCTTCGCCACTTCCAAAGTGGATAGTGATGTGTCCATCATTCCTCCAAATAAAAAAATAACGCTTTCCCTCCAAAATTTAAGTAGAAAACATTTAAAACACTTAACGGGGGCAAAAGTAGGTTTACAGTTGTGAGTAATTTATTCCTATACTATTATTTATTTATTCTTGTATTTTCTGTATGAACAAACTGTAAGCCAACTTTTGCCCCACCTGCATTAGTCAAGGTAATTGAAAGTGAAAAGAGCTAAGCAGCTGCTTTTTCTCCTGGGTAGGCGGAGGCCCAGATTGCTGCGAAAAACCTGGACAAGGAGTACCTGCCCATCGGGGGGCTGGCCGAGTTCTGTAAGGCGTCTGCGGAGCTGGCCCTGGGCGAGAACAGCGAAGTGCTGAAAAGCGGCCGGGTAAGTGAGCGGCCTCCGGCGTCGTACAGGGTCTGTCATTAAATGTAGTAATGTAGGTACATTTGAGATAATTCAAGCAATTTAAAACAAATAAGAAAAGAGCCAAGACCGGTTTGGCTCAATGGATAGAGCGTTGGCTTGGGGACTGAAAGGTCCCGGGTTTGATTCCGGTCAAGGGAATGTACCTTGGTTGCCGGCATATCCCCAGTAGGGGGTGTGCAAGAGGCAGCTGATTGATGTCTATCTCTCATCGATGTTTCTAACTATCTCTCTCCCTTCCCCTCTGTACAAAATCAATAAAATATATTTTTTTTAAAAAGAAAGAAAGAAAAGAGACACCACTTTGTGCCTGGTGATGGTTGTTTTGTGTTTTATTTTTAAATATATTTTATTGATTTTCTTAGAAGAAGAGAGAGGGATAGAAAGTTACAGAGTTAGAAATATCAATGAAAGAGAAACATTGATCAGCTGCCTCCTGCACAGCCCCTCACTGGGGATGTGCCCACAACCAAGGCACATGCCCTTGACCGGAACCGAACCCAGGACCCTTCAATCCACAGGCCGACGCCCTATCCACTGAGCCAAACTAGTCAGGGCGCTGGTGATGGTTTTGAGGTGGCCACGCTTTTGCTAATATCTCTTCTTTAGCTAATAAATTGGCCCCAATTAAATAGAAGATTTCCTATAACACCAGTTCCAAACATATGGTAGTGATTTGATAGATTTGACACTGCTTTTCTATTAGTTTCATGTGCTTATGTTCATTTTACATTAAATATGCTTTAGAAACTCCAAACCATGCCTAGTTTTAGGCCTATACTTAGCCCCCACCCTCATGCCCTAAGCTTAGATGGAGGGAGCAAGCAGGAAAAAGCCACAGGTAGGCTCTGGCAGCTGGGCCCAGCGGGCATTCCGCTGGTCCCTCCCAGCCCTGCTCCCTTCCTGCTGCCTCCCTCCTCTCTGAGGTCCAGGGAGCACCACCGCAGCCATGAGAGCGGAGCACAAGTGTCCCTTATCTCCTTCCGGCTCCCGGAGGGGTCCCCTCTTGTGGGAGACAGGGGGCCCTAAAGGTCGCTGCACGTAAGCTTTCTGCACAGATTCCTGTATGCACCGTGGAGTATATGCAGGCGCATACTTGCAGAAGAGACTAGCATCAAGCATGTGGGCCACCAAACAGCTCACCTGACACAAGGGCTGTGTGCCTTTCTTTTGAAATATGTATGTTTTTCTAATGGATACATTTGTGTGTTTAAACTTTTTTTTTCTGTTTAAGTGGGGGGGAGGGGGGCGACTCACAAAGTAGCAAAACTAAGCCAACACTTGTCCCCTCCGCACCCCTCCAAGGACAGAATAAATACATTTTATTTACAAGACGGGTCCAAGTCCACGGGTTAGTTCATTGACTCAGAGTCAAACATATAACCTTGACCCAGTGGTGATGGAGCAATGACCATAAGTCATGGACAGAATATGGTCTGACTGATATTTATACAGTCAACCACCTGTTAACCCCTCATGAAAATTCTGGGGGTGTTTTGGGTTTTTTTTTGGGGGGGGGGTTGTAATTTTTGCTCAGTCTGTGTAGTTCTAGTCAGTTGTTACATAAGTATGAGACTGGCCTACCTTAAAAGAACATCAGTTTGTCCTTTATAAATCGCTGTGCCTTTGTGATCATTGGTATCAGATCTGCAGCCAGGTTTTTCTTTTTATCACGCCAAAGTTTGCAGACTAGTTTGTTTAGGAAAGAGTTGGTTGGTTGGGTTCCTCCCATTTAACCCAGTGTCCTCCAGTCCAGAAAATAGGTTGATGTTTTGTAGAACCTTGCTTCTATGGTGCCAAAAAAAAAAGGAAGGAAGGAAGGAAGGAAGGAAGGAAGGAAGGAAGGAAGGAAGGAAGGAAGGAAGGAAGGGGAAAAAAAGATGGTTTTTTACTCATCTCCTACCATGGATTGGTTTGAAGAAACAGATCTAGTCAGGCATCTATCCAAATGATTAATATTTAAGATCCTGAAAACTCATAAGAGGAGCCTCTTAGACAACCTTTGATAGGTAGTAATGTTGGTCTAAGGTACTTTTCCAGGACCTTTGATGTTCAGAGAGTCACTCCATTTTGAATAATTCTACAATAATGTTTAAATGCTGTAACTGTTCTTATTGTCCTTTTTTTTTTTTTTCCATTGGGGAGGGAGGGGGTTCTAACACAGGATGGTGCTCCTCACTGGCCTAAGGGATTGGCTTCTGCATCAGCAGGGCTGATGGAAACTGAAGAGACCGCCCTTTGGGAACCAGTGAGGAGGGTCCAGGCAGCCTGTGGCTCAGCAAACAGGGAAATGAGGCAGCGCCGTTTCCTGAAGCTCCTTTGGGGGTGTCTCAGCCTCTGGGCTTGGCTTTCCCTCTGCTGCGTCAGGGGAGTGGGGCCTCACTGAGCTCATGTCTCTCCCTCAGTACGTCACCGTGCAGACCATTTCCGGAACCGGGGCCTTACGGATCGGAGCCAGCTTTCTGGTGAGTCTGGAAATTTCTTCAGCAAAGAGCTGTGAGGATGACGGGGTTTTCTACCACACGTGTGTTTGCTGACCCAAAAGTAGACTTCCTGTCTCCACAACATTGGAAGACTTCTCAGTCCCTGATAAATGAACTCGGGGGTTAAAAATTCAAGTACCTAGAAGGAATCACAAAGACATGATAGTAGGACAATATAATAATGAATATAATTCATTGAGCACATCCTGTTACTAGGAGCTTTTATATTTTAACTCATTTAATCTTTCTGAAGGCGGTTCCGTTAACACCATTTTATTTTTTAATATTTTATTAATTTTTTACAGAGAGGAAGGGAGTGGAAGAGTTAGAAATATCAATGAGAGAGAAACATCGATCAGCTGCCTCCTGCAGGTCCCCCACTGGGGTTGTGCCCACAACCAAGGTACATGCCCTTGACCAGAATCGAACCTGGGACCCTTCAGTTCGAAGGCCGGTGCTCTATCCACTGAGCCAAACTGGTCAGGGCAAGTTAACACCATTTTACAGATGAAGAAAGTGAGGTCCCGGTGGGTCCCTGGCCACTCGGCCATATAACTGTCAGAGTGTGGGTTCCACCGGGCAGCCTCGCTGCTTAGTCAGTGCTGTTCTCACTCAGGGAGAGGAGCTGTGTTTCAGGAGAGAAAAGTTGTCTTTTCCGTAAAACAGGTCAACTTTTTTTTCTCCTCCCCTTTTTTCATCCTCTTTCATCTCATCTCTCAGCAAAGATTTTTCAAGTTCAGCCGAGATGTCTATCTGCCCAAACCTACCTGGGGGAACCACACGCCCATCTTCAGGGACGCCGGCATGCAGCTGCAGGGCTACCGCTACTACGACCCCAAGACGTGCGGCTTTGACTTCACGGGCGCCATGGAGGACATTTCCGTAAGTGTGGCTCTTGGGGGCAGGGCGAGGCGGGGATCAGGAGTAAACCTCCTTGTGGAGACTTGAGGTCGCCCAGGGAGTCTCGACACCTGACTAAAATCCGGAGGATGGGCCAACTCCCAGACCCTGGGTTCTTCCTGTTATTTACCGAGTGATGGTGACCCTGTGGCATTTCGGGAAAATGATCCCCTTGTCGAGCTGCAGAGCGAGCTCATGGCGGTTTGTCTTTTCAGAAAATGCCCCAGCAAAGCGTCCTCCTCCTGCACGCCTGCGCCCACAACCCCACGGGAGTGGACCCTCGCCCCGAGCAGTGGAAGGAGATAGCCTCCGTGGTGAAGGTGAGCGGCGGCCTGACGGGATGGTTCTGCGTGGTAACGAACGAGCCTTCCGTGCTTTCCTGGCAACGTCTGAACTGTGACCGCTACCCGGAGCCCACGTGAAATTTCCACTTTTTAAAAAAAAAAACGTTTTGCCGAAACTGGTTTGGCTCAATGGATAGAGCGTCGGCTTGGGGACTGAAGGGTCCCGTGTTCTATTCCGGTCAAGGGCATGTACCTTGGTTGCGGGCACATCCCCAGTAGGGGGTGTGCAAGAGGCAGCTGATCGATGACTCTCTCTCATCGATGTTTCTAACTCTCTCTCTCTCTCTCTCTCTCCCCCTTCCTTTCTGTACAAAATCAATAAAATATATTTTTTTTTAAAAAATGCTTTTATTTCAGAGAGGAAGGAAGATGGAGAGAGAGACAGAGAGAGGAATTTCAGTAATGAGAGAAAATCATTGATTTGGCTGCCTCTCGCACGATCCTCCTGGGGTTGGAGGCCATAACCCGGGCATGTGCCCTGACTGCAAATCGAACCATGACCTCCTGGTTCAGGGGTCAACACCCAACCATTGAGCCCCACCGGCCAGGCCCACACATTATTAATAGCCGGGAAAGAGCTCCACTTTAGGGAGATTAACAATTCTGTACCTGATGCTACAGGAGCAGGGTGGAAATGATTTCTGTTCCTCGGCTGGGTCTAGGAAATTCTGATGGGACTTGTCATTGCCTGGCCTGTGTGTAGGCATCCACTGGCCCCCCCCATGTCTGCTGGTGGGGTCTCCAGCTGTCCTGATCAGTGGTTAAATTTGTTCATCCCTTGCCACTTTTTCATGTCCCCCCTTCCCACGCCACTTCCCTCGGCATCGCCATTGTCACTCCTGGATCAGCTGGCAGCGAAGGCACGCGTCAGAATTCCTAGGGAGGAGGATACTCACTCCTGTCGCCTTGCATCCCCACCGTCACTCCTTCTGGTTCCCCTTCCTTTACACTCTGTCAAACCTCCACTGCAGACAGAATGAGAGAGAAGCAGCCCTCAGAGAACTCTTAAGGAGGAGATGGCTCTGACGTGGCCGGCCCCTGAGCCCGGGGTATTAGATGAGTCTGCCAGGGTGACATCAGCCCAGGAAGACTGATGCTGATCCTGCGCTGACTGAACTGACATAATTACCCACCCACGGAGGGCCTACAGCGAGCTTCCCATTTGACGGAGCCGCGCCTGGGGAGATGGAGATTAAGATTCTCCTTTCTTCGTGTCTTCTAGAGGGACCATACCAACCGGAGTAAAAAAATATACTAGCACATTAATGTCTGAACTCTTAGGAAACGGAAACATTGCCAAACTGCCCCCTGAGGGGGGAGACTGTTGCTTCTGTCTCTGTGAGGCAGGCCTGGTCGCAGAAAGCACAGGGACCATCTGGGCATCCTGAGGGGCTGCCTGAAGCTTTGGTGTCTTCTCTTTTCCTTCCCAGAAAAACAACCTCTTTGCGTTCTTCGACATGGCCTACCAAGGCTTTGCCAGCGGCGATGGCAACAAGGATGCCTGGGCTGTGCGCCACTTCATCGAACAGGGCATTAACGTTTGCCTCTGCCAGTCCTACGCCAAGAACATGGGCCTCTACGGTAAAGGAAGGACCCCGGGCGAGTGTGTTCTGATGACATTGAGGAAGTGCCGGGAGGGGTGCCCCGCAGGTGTGGGGTTGCGTGTGCCAGTGTGTGTGTGTGTGTGTGTGTGTGTGTGTGTGGTCCCTGTCGCTCCTTCCCCAGAGAGGAAGACAGGTGAAACGGATTGCACTGATCTTAGTCACGTCTTCTGTAATGTCCTTGAATTTTCCCACAAAGAAAACTGATTGCTGCTGCTCTAAACAGTGACTATTCCATGAGCCACGAAGATGGATACAAGAGAAAGAATACCCTTGAGTATTCAACTTTCTGTTGTACCCAGAGTCACCATTCTAATTGCTAAAAACGTTATACTTAGAAAAGTTATTTTTGTGGTGTTTCTGGTGGAAACAGCTAACGGGGAGCACATGACTTGCTCTAGATAGAACTAGGCGACAGGATCCACTCTGCCTTCTCAGGTGAGCGTGTGGGAGCCTTCACTGTGGTCTGCAAAGATGCAGATGAGGCCAAAAAGGTGGAGTCCCAGTTGAAGATCTTGATTCGCCCCATGTACTCCAACCCTCCTGTCAACGGGGCCCGGATCGCCTCCACCGTCCTGAACAGCCCCGATCTGCGGAAGCAATGGTAACGGCCGCCGCCCAGCCACCGCCTTACCCCGCTCAGCCTTCACAGCTTTGTTATAATCGGCCACTAGGGAGGCCAGCATCACACAGCTTCCACATGTGGGAGGGGGGCAGGGAGAGAAGAGTGCCTTTTATCAGCACTTTCCAGTAAATACGTTGGTTTTTTCCCTGGAAAAGATAGAGATAGTATTTTTTTTTTTTTTCTTTTTCTTTCAGAGAGGAAGGGAAAGGGAGATAGAAACATCAATCAATGATGAGAGAGAATCAATGATTGGCTGCCTCCTGCACATCTCCCACTGGGGACTGAGCCCACAACCCAGGCATGTGTCCTTGAGCAAAATCGAACCCAGGACCCTACAGCCTGATGCTTTAATCCACTGAGCCAAGCTGGATAGGGCTAGTATTTCCTTTTATCCCATCATCTCCAGGTTATCTAAATTCAAATTCCTTACATAGGAAAACTTCCTGAAGAAAATCATATTTTTGTTTTATTTTAATAATAGCTAGCATTGAATTGATCTTTCTGCACCTTTTGATTTTTATTATCTGTACTGTCTGAATACCGTGGCGCACCTGAGCTCTAAGGTAGTGTTACTCAGTGTTTGTTTGTTTTTTAATATATTTTTTATTGATTTCAGAGAGGGGGGGAAAGAGAGAGAAACATTAATGATGAGAATCATCCGTCACACACACCCTTCCCCCCACTGGGGATCGAACTCACAACCCGGGCATGTGCCCTGACCAGGAATTTAACCGTGACTCCTGGCTCATAGGTCAATGCTCAACCACTGAGCCACACCAGCTGGGTATAAAATAAAATGCTATAAAATAGTTTTTTCTTCCCGAACTCAGTCAGGGACACACTAATTCCGTGAGCTGTGGCGTATCTAACGGGACTTGGCCAGAATTGCATTGCATCCCAGGCTTTTCACAGGTTGCAGGAAGTGAAAGGCATGGCCGACCGCATCATCAGCATGCGGACCCAGCTGGTCTCCAACCTCAAGAAGGAGGGCTCCTCCCGCAACTGGCAGCACATCACCGACCAGATTGGCATGTTCTGTTTCACAGGACTGAAGCCCGAGCAGGTGAGTGGACTCCCTGTAGCAGACCAGTTACTCAGTCCTGGAGCACCTACCTATTCAGGAAAACAGTCATTTTGGAGGCTTTTGGGTAAATGAAGTATGTACATCTGTAGCATTCATTCTGCTTTGTTTTTTATTAGTCATTTACCTATCTGCATCCTCCGTGAGGTGCAGACTTCCACAGAGCAACACTTGTCTTCATCATTTTTAGTGAATGCCACTGCTTCTCTGAGAGATACCAGAACAAGCAGGAACCTGCAAATTAGAAAGGAAAGCAGCTGATTCACAGCTGGATCCTGCATCTGTTCTTCCTGCAAATGCCGGCTCTAACATTTTTTTCACCGTTCCTCCTCAGAATACATCACCCTACTTTCAAGTAGCTTTCCTTCTTACACTCTAAGCTAACACACCAAATTCTGGGAGTAGGGTTTAATTGAAAAAAACAGAGCCTCTGTTATTTTTTTCTGTCTTAACATGTGGCTGTTGTGCCACGGCTGGACACGCACACACAACACACACACCTCGCGTGAGCTGGACATGCCCAAGCATCCTTCTCTCTGCAGGTGGAGCGGCTGACCAAGGAGTTCTCGGTCTACATGACAAAGGACGGCCGCATCTCGGTGGCAGGAGTCACCTCCGGCAACGTGGGCTACCTTGCCCACGCCATCCACCAGGTCACCAAGTAATTTCCCTGCTGAAAGGAAACAGAGACCACCTCCTTGCCCACCTCTGCTGCCCTGAGATGCACACGGAGGAAGAGGGAGGGTGGATGGTGGTGGGCAGATCCTTTCTTTCAACCACGGTACTCAAAACTCAGCGTTGGAACGGTCTCTCGGCAAAGGGTGTGTAGGGAACTAGGCAGAGGCATCCGTGGCTGGTGCGTAGAACTTTGTGGCTCTCAACCAAAACCTCCCTCCTCTGTGTGTATCCAGCTTTTCCGAAAGAGTTTACATGTACAAGAACGTCATAGCCAAAAATCTGTCCATCACACCATTGCAATATTCCGGAAGCTTTAACTGATGGTGTCGGTGCCATGTATCCGAGCCTCTGTGAGAAGACCTGGTTCCAACAATAATGGTCAGCCTCACGTTTGTGCTCCCGGATCGAGCAGCCTAACCAACAGACCACATTACAGAAACCGCGCTTCGTGAAAGCCAGCGCAAAAGGAACCCAAAAAGATGCTGTGTCCGGTCTTACTTAAGGAAAAAAGAAAGAAGGCTCTCCTTCTTGTACTTACTTGTGGGCATTTCAGTGTTCCCTTCTCTCTGTCAGCGCTGATCTTCTCCATAGGCACAAAGATCTATAACCAGCCTAGATTTTCACCCTCTTCTGCTTGGTTGACCACCAACTCCACCCTGTAGCACTTCCTCATTTGAAGAATGAAGAACCTGATTTACTGCTCACCCCACACCCTCGCCTTTCTCAACTAAGAACGCCAGAGAATGATTAACGGATTGTTGCAGCGTCCTCTTCAGTGATTGCTCGTCTCCCGCCGGGATGTCGCCTCTGCCCAGTTGGACCTCGCACCTTCGTGCCATGTTGTGCGGTCCCAAGTCGGGTGATGCCAGGCTGAGCCAGACAGGAGGATGTTCAGGTTTCGGTTTTAACCTTCGTGCGCTTCCAGCGTGGCTCGGGCTTCATTCACCCTTTAGAACGATGACCACCATCTACTCTAATCATGTAGACCTACTACTGCCTGGTTTCTCTGTTACAATAAAGTTACTGCGACCCCACGTCTATGTTGTATTTTCTCTTTAATGGGAGGGGAAGGGCAGGAGTGGCTGTATATCCCGCAACTCTGAAGTCATGTCCAGCTGACCATGAGCCAATGGGTGCGTGGGCTGTTCTGAATGTAAACTAAAGCCACATCCCTGTCTTGATCTGACTCAGCTTGTCTAGTCCAAAGAAGTTGGAAATGTAGATATGATCCATTGGACCTTGGGAGACAGGTGGAGTACCTCAAAGGATCCTGTGGGTGTCAGCAGGGAGCAGAGGAGATGGAGGGAGGTGGCAGCTTCAGAGGGCTTTGGGAGGTAGGAAACTTAAACAATGAAGGGGAAGTTAAAAGACGGATGCCACCCAGATGTAAGATGATCATTGGGGACCAACCCTTATCCCCAGTCATGAGAAATAGGGAAGTGAGAGGCACTGTGAGAATGAAAGGCCAGGATGGCAGGTTTCAATTTTCCAAATAACACAAATCCTGTTTTTATATTTACATGTGTGTGTGTGTGTGTTTATTGAATTCAGAGAGGGAGGGAAACATCCATGTTAAAGATTAACATCAATTAGCTATCTTCCATATCTAGACCAAAACCCCAACCTGGGTGTGTGCCCTTACTGGGAACTGAACTGGTGACCTTTTGGTACACTGGATCGAACCCAAAACATGGGACCCCAACTAGGAATTGAAGTAGGACCTCCTGGTTCATAGGTCGACAACTGTTGAGCCATACCAGCTGGACCACAATCCTATTTTTCTGGATGGTCTATTGATGCTTAAAAGTTGGCAACTGATTCAACTTCTTAAAATATTTTTTTAATGATTTCAGAGAGGAAAGGAGAGGGAGAGAGAGAGAGAAACATCAATGATGAGAGAGAATCATTGATTGGCTGCCTCCTGCACTTCCCCATACTGGAGATCAATCCTGCAACCTGGGCATGTGCCCTGACCGGGAATTGAACCGTGGCATCCTAGTTCATAGATCGACAACCACTGAGCCATACTGGCCTGGCCTGATTCAATTTTTTTAATGATTTACATGCAAGATGCAAACAATAGGTCACCAGTTTGCAACCTCTACCATAAAGTCTTTACTCTGTCAGCCGACATGGAGCAATGGCGCCTGCTTGGCATCAAGGTTATGCTGTCCACTTCTGCTTAGTGCTGGAAGCCATTTAAGGTGGGACAGCCGGCAATGGAGCAGAGGTCAGGCCCCGAGCACATCCACAGTGCACGGGTAGCTGCTGGGAGGGGGGCAGCAGGCCCAGCTTGCTCTTCCCCTCTTGTTACTCACTCCCTGAGGGGCGTGGTGCACAGCAGGCTTGCTCCTGACCCCGGCTCTTCTGTGTCCCTGTCGGGAATGGATACACCCACGTGATAAATGGATAAGTGAGTGAGTTACCTGGAATGGACTTGGCCTGGATGTCTTTGGGAAAGTATCTTAAAAGGGAAAACGTTATTCAGCTGCTCCGTTCAGGGACTGACTGCCCAGATTAGGAGAAGCTGCTTTAAGCCTCCCTGAGGGAACCACATGGTTGAAAGTTGGCAACCAGGACAGCAGGAAAGAGAACCTGACCACCCTGCTGACCTTGTTATTTTTAACCACACGTACTGCCAGCTCGCCCTGGACTAAGTCCCTTTCCTCACCAAACGCAGTCACGTGGGGGGTGTTTTTCTCAGCAGTTCAGACTGTTTGCCTTCAGCCCTACCCTCGTTTTCTAGTCTGGGTCGAATATGTTCATGTTCATCCACTCGATGGAGGGGGTAGTTTGCTCAGAATAACCTCTGTGTGTGCTTTTTTGTTTGTTTTCTTTTTAAAATATTTTTGTTGATTTCAGAGACGGAGAGAGAGATGGAAACATCAATGATGAGAGAGAATCATTGATCAGCTGCCTCCCACATGCCCCCTACTCGGGATTGAGCCCACAACCTTGGCATATGCCCTGACCAGGAATTGAACCATGACCTCCTGGTTCTTAGGTTGATGCTCAACCACTGAGCCATGCCGGCCAGGCATGCCTCTGTTTATTGTAGTTCAAGGTAGAATAGTTTCCAAATCTGGATTTTTTTTAAAATCTTGGTTCCCTAGCCCTATCTCTGGACATTCTGACTCAATATGTCTGAGATAAGGTTTGGGAGTCATTTTCTTTTTTTTTCTTTTTAATATATTTTATTGATTTTTCACAGAGAGGAAGAGAGAGGGATAGAGAGTTAGAAACATCGATGAGAGAGAATCATCGATCAGCTGCCTCTTGCACACCCCCCACTGGGGATGTGCCCGCAACCTAGGTACATGCCCTTGCCCGGAATCGAACCCGGGACCTTTCAGTCCGCAGGCCAATGCTCTATCCACTGAGCCAAACCGGTCCCGGCTGGGAGTCATTTTCTTCTTTAAATAAAAAAGAGAAAATTTTCCTGGAGATTCAGAAACACCTGATCCGTTGACCAGCCATTGGGTGCTATTGGACTAAATGGCCTCAGGCTTACAACTTCATGATCAAAGTCCAGCTCACTCAACCAGCTTGAGAATTTTTTTACCTTTTTTCTTATGGGCTATGGAATTCTTTTTCATAGAATTTATTGGTTTGTATCTAATAAATAGATTTTTTTTCTTTTTCTTTTTTTTTTTAATGATAATCTTATAAAATTCCTGAGAAGCCCTGTCCAGGTAACTCATTTAGTTAGAGTTGTCCAGATATGCCAAGATTGTGGGTTCAATTCCCAGTCAGGGCACATATATACAAGAATCAAACCACATATAAATAAGTGGAACAAGTCAGTATTTCTCCCCCTCTCTAAAATCAATGTTTTTAATTTTATTATTTTTTTACATTTTATTGATTTTTTTTTTTACAGAGAGGAAGGGAGAGGGATAGAAAGTTGGAAACATCCATGAGCGAGAAACATCGACCAGCTGCCTCCTGCACACCCCCTACTGGGGAAGTGCCCACAACCAAGGTACATTCCCTGGGATTCCCTGGGACTCTTGAGTCCCCCAAGCTGGCACTCTATCCCCTGAGCCAAACCAGACAGGGGGCTATTATACTTTTAAAACCTGCAAACAGCTCAGACATCCTTCATTCAACAAGTGACCAGTTAAGCAAACCAGTACAGTACATACTGTGTTTCCCCGAAAATAAGACCTAGCGCAACTTTGGGAGAAAAAATTAATATAAGACATTGTCTTATTTTCGGAAAAACAGGGTACACGCCGACGATATTACCTGCAGAAACTACAACTCCCAGAGTGCCCTGCGTCTCACAGACCCCCTACTATCACGTGACCTCTGTTCACGTGTCTCCACAGCCGGCTGGGCAGGAGGTACCGTGGGTAGGTGGCACAAAGTAGGAAAGGTGGAGGGTGGGAGCTTTAAGTCTCGGGGTACCCAAACCCCCCCCGATCGCAGCAGGACCCTGCCCACTCCCCGCAGGGCGCTCCGAAGCCCGGCGTGCTTGGTCCCACGGCCGCCCTCGGCTGGCCTGTCCCTGCCCCGTCTCCACCCAGTCGTCCTAGGCCCGGATCAAATCCCGGTGCCTCCGCCCAGTTTACCCCACAGCAGCCCACTCCCCTCACTGCATGCCTGGGGGGCATCCCCTCCGCGCCCTGGCCCACCTCCCAGTGCAACCCACCCCTCCTGTTTCGGGGAGCCAGCCTCGGCCGGAGTAGGACCCCGCTCCGGCTGGGAACCGAGGGCCCTCCTGCAGTGACCCCAGCTCCCCGAGGGCGCCAGGCTCCTGGCTCTGGTGCTGCCGGCGGGCTGCCGGCTGTGGCCTTAGCCCCGCGTCCTCCCTCCCTGCGCCTGTCTACCGGACTGACCTGGTGCCCCTTCTACAGAGTCCAGTCCCCTCACTTTGCTGACCAGCACAGAACAGCCCAGACTCACCCCTCTGCTGACGGCGGACTTCTAGCAAAGCCTTGAGAGGAAGAAGAAATCAGGGCCGAGAGACAGAAGTGAGGAGAATCGGATCCCCGGTCTTCGGGGAGCAGGAGCTGGGAGCAGCACCCCCTCCACCATCGCCCTGATCCGGAGGGGAGAGCAGGTAAGCTGGGGAGGATGGAGCTGAGGAACTGGGGGGAGAGACGGCTGAAAGATCGGACACCTCAGTTCTGAGATCTGAGCGGGGCTGAGAGGGAGGCTGCTCAGCGCTGGCAGCACTGGCTTTGCGGGCTCTGTCTGGCACCCTGCTAGGAGCCTGGGAACCCAAGACTCCTCCTACTACGCGCTGCTTTGATTTTTTTTTTTTTTCTGAGTTGCTGGATGGGTGTCCCCTGACTGATCTTTCCGGAGCTGGAGCCAGCAGAGGGCTATTTCCTCGGGAGCTGGTGTCTTGGTTGCATGCGCGGTGACAGATGTCTAAGAGCATCAGAACCCTCCTTTTTCCCTCTCCTGAGTGTACCGTTCCTGGCTTTGCTGGGCCAGGACCAGGAGGAGCAATGGGAAGCGTCTGACTACCCAGGGGGCCTCCTTTGCCATTCTAACCTCTGGCATGTGGAGGGCCACCGAGGGGATGCTTCTGGCGGGCAGTAGTTAGGTGAGTCAGAGGGAGGTGAGTGAGAGTTGGCCTGAATGTTGAAGGACTTGGAAAGCTATGGCGAATCCAGATGCTGGGCTCAGAATCCAGACTCTGTAACACGTTGAAATAGCCATGGTTCTGAGTGGGGGCTGGGCTTGGAAGCCTGCAAAGTGGAAACAGGGAAGGCAGGGAAGGCAGACAAGATCGGTATTCAAATCCTACTCTGCAACTAGCTGACACGTGACCCTGGATCACTGATTCAATCTCTCCAAACCTTATGACCCCCTCTGTCGTAAAGATGGAATGAGGTATGTCCACGACATGCCTGCCCATACACGGCCTCTCTCTAATACTGGCACATTACTACCCCCCTCTCTCTCTTTTTAAAAATATATTTTATTGATTTTTTTACGGAGAGGAAGGGAGAGGGATAGAGAGTTAGAAACATCGATGAAAGAGAAACATCGATCAGCTGCCTCCTACACACCTCTCACTGGAGATGTGCTTGCAACCAACATACATGCCCTTGACCGGAATCGAACCTGGGACCCTTCAGTCCGCAGGCCTACGACACTCTATCCACTGAGCTAAACCGGTTTGGGCACTACCCCCTCTCTCTTATGTTTGTCTTATATACCCCATGGTTCTGTAATCCGGAAGCAAGTAGGATTTGCCTCTGACCTATTTCTGTCTCTGCCACCCCACACGGTTGCCCACAGGGCAGTATTCTGCCCAAAGGGGCACCTGGGTTCCAGTCCCAGCCGTCTGATCTTGGGGGCGTTGTTTTACCTTTCTGTGCCCATCTGGGGATAACAGTATAGCACCTGCCTTCCCTGTCTAGGCTGAGAAGAGCCAGCGCCCACAGGCCTGAGAGAACAGAACAGCTCCGAACAGGGCATGTGGTGGTGAGGCAGAATCTGCAGACCCCGCCGGAAGAGGGCTCTCGAGGGCCATGGCCCAGGTCAGCATCAACAGCGACCTCAGCGAGTGGGGCTTCAGCTCGGATGCCGGGGAGCGGGCCCGGCTGCTGCAGAGCCCCTGCGTGGAGCCGGACCCGAAGAGCGAGGGGGAGGCCTCTCCCGAGAGCCTGAGCAGAGGCACCACGTCCACGTTTGGGGCCGTCTTCATCGTGGTCAACGCCTGCCTGGGGGCAGGATTGCTCAACTTCCCAGCAGCCTTCAGCACCGCCGGGGGCGTGGCAGCGGGCATCAGCCTGCAGATGGTGAGTGTGTGGGCCCAGAGGGCAGGAATGCAGTCCAGCTGGGGAGTCCGGCCTCTTTGCCTCCAACGGGAGGCTCTGGATGAGGGATGATCAGAGCCACCACTGTCCCCACCCTCGCACAGGGCATCTCTCCCAGTATTTTTTCCTCTGAGCCCAGATGAGGCTTCAATAGTAAGGTGACCATGCTGAAACCGGTTTGGCTCAGTGGTAGAGCGTCGGTCTGCGGACTGAAAGGTCCCAGGTTCGATTCCGGTCAAGGGCATGTACGTTGGTTGCGGGCACATCCCCAGTGGGGGGTGTGCAGGAGGCAGCTGATCGATGTTTCTCTCTCATTGACGTTTCTAACTATCTCTCTCCCTTCCTCTTTGTAAAAAATCAATAAGATATTTTTAAGAAATAAAAAATAAAAAGCGAAAGAAAATTTTTAAAAATAGTAATAATCCAGAATGGGAGAAGGAATAGATGAAACAGGATTGGGCATGAATTGATCATTCTTGAAGTTGAGTGATAAGGACCTGGGGGTCCATTATACCATTCTTTCTACTTTTTAAAAAATATATTTTATTGATTTTTTTTACAGAGAGGAAGGGAGAGGGATAGAAAGTTAGAAACATCGATCAGCTGCCTCCTGCACACACCCCCTTGGGGATGCGCCCACAACCAAGGTACATGCCCTTGACCGGAATCGAACCCGGGACCCTTCAGTCCACAGGCTGACGCTCTATCCACTGAGCCAAATCGGCCATTCTTTCTACGTGTGTGTGTGTGTGTGTGTGTGAATTTTTCCACAAAGCTTTTTTGTTTCTGAAGAAAATCTCAGGTCTCCAGTAATCTATTAAAATTGTCCTGTGGGATGAGGCCCATATGCCAAACCAGCTTTGGGCATTGGCCTCGTAAATACCGAGCCAAACCCGGCTGCCCTTTGCTGCCAGGCCTTTCCCACACCCTCCTGCTCTGCCCCTGCCCGCAGGGCATGCTGGTCTTCATCATCAGCGGCCTCGTCATCCTCGCCTACTGCTCCCAGGCCAGCAACGAGCGGACCTACCAGGAGGTGGTGTGGGCCGTGTGCGGCCGGCTGACGGGCGTGCTGTGCGAGGTGACCATCGCCGTCTACACCTTCGGCACCTGCATCGCCTTCCTCATCATCATTGGGGACCAGCAGGACAAGAGTGAGGTTCCCTCGGGAGCCACCTCATCCCTCCCTCCCCCCCTGGCCCCAGGAATCCCAGGGGTAGAGAGAAAGGGCATGGAACACCTACCCCAGGCCTCGCCTGGGCTCAGCCTTCCCCTGGGAATCCCCCTCCTGGCTGCTGGGCCCATTAGACAGATGGAAGTCCCGAGGCCCAGCCAAGCAGGAGGGCCGCACCTTGCAAGTGGCCTGGCATGACATTCTCTCCTTCCTCCCCGTGCAGTTATCGCCGTGTTGGCCAAGGAGCCCGAGGGGGCCAGTGGCAGCCCCTGGTACACAGACCGCAAGTTTACCATCAGCCTCACCGCCTTCCTCTTCATCCTGCCCCTCTCCATCCCCAGGGAGATCGGCTTCCAGAAATATGCCAGGTGCGGGAGCTGCCAGGGGCTGCCAGGGAACCCCCATCCTCCGTGCCACCTCACCTTCTGGGGCGGCAAGAGTGGGCAAGGCTGGCCGGCCAGGGCTTGCACGGGTCCCAGCTGATGACTTTCCTCTCTGTCAGCAGCAAGGGAGACGGTGGCCCTGAGCATCAGCAGGACATTCAATGTCCTTGTCAAAGGGACAGGTGGCAGTCAGAGGGTCAAGGCAGCCTCCGGGCCTGGACCTTAGCTGTTTCCTGCGATCCGTAATCTGCAGGGTCGCCCTCAGCGGTCTCCAAGGCCCCCTGTACCGACCTTCCAGTATTTGACCCTTCCACCCTTTTTCCTCCGCTGTCTCCTCATTCTCCAGGGCCCTCCTTCTGATAGAAGCCCAGCCCTACGAGCCCTGGAGCTGAGCCAGTGCATCTCCCGATGGTCAGAGATGTCAGTCTGGTCCCCTGTGTGGTCCAGCTCCTCCCTCCAGGCTGTGGCCAGTTTCTCCTTTCTGGAGTCTTTGCTGGAAATAGCCCCCCACGTTGTTCAGTAGACACTCGTGGTCCCTAGAACTGAGGGTAGACGCCCCTGGGGTGGGGTCGGAGAAAGGGCTACTGGGGCCGGGGAGGAGGGAGTTCAGTCCGTTCTTCCCGCAGCTTCCTGAGCGTCGTGGGCACCTGGTACGTCACCGCCATCGTCATCATCAAGTACATCTGGCCGGATAAGGAGATGACCCCGGGGGACATCCTGACCAGGTGGGTGAGGCCAGGAGACACGTGGGGCAGGATCGGCTGCTCGGGCCCCGGAAGGTGCCGGGTCAGACATCAAAAGGCCACACAGGTGCTCATCTTAAGGCTCCGTGAGCGTCCCAGGCCCTCCTTCATAGGAAGCAGGCAAGCGGTCCTGATCTCTTTCCACCGAAGGGAAATGAGCGCCAGAGACGGAAGAGACTAAGCCGCTAACGTCCAACAACTGAGCGTGAGACGAGGCCTCAGACTGTGAAGCCTGCCAGGGTGGAGCTACACATTTTTCCAACTTGTGCTTCTCTGTAATTGCTGCATCTTCTACATGAGGATGGATCTATGTGGTCATTTGAAGAAAAAAAAAAAAGAAGAAGAAGAAAAAATAGTTTACTTTTTTTGAAAGGAACAAATAAAAGCCCCAGTGTAGGAGCCAAAATTCTGGATTTTGGCCCCAGGAGAGCCTTGCAGAGCCTCAGTTTGCTGACCTGTGAAATGGGTAGAGTGTGTAGAAGGCTCCCTGGAGGAGGCCGTGGTTGGCTGAAGGAAGAGTAAGGGCATCCAGGGGGGAGTGGTGGGTAGTTGGTGGCTGTGTGGGGTTCACAGGCAGCAAGTTCTTGTGTTCATCCACAGGCCGGCTTCCTGGATGGCCGTGTTCAACGCCATGCCCACCATCTGCTTTGGATTTCAGGTGCCTGTCGCAAGGTCCCTGCGGCCCCCCATCCCGGGATGGAGCCCACATCACAGGCGGGATGGGGTATCCTGGGAGGAAGGATGGAGTGGGGACCCCCAGGACCCGCCCCTTGTCCCCGTGGTCTTTGTCTCCAAGGTTACCTCGCTCTGGAAACGGGGCTGGGGAAGAGGTCATTTCCCCAGCATAACCGTGACCTTCACCCCGACAGTGCCACGTGAGCAGCGTGCCCATCTTCAACAGCATGCGGCAGCCCGAGGTGAAGACGTGGGGCGGGGTGGTGACGGCCGCCATGGTCATCGCCCTCGCCGTGTACATGGGCACAGGTGAGTGCTCCCGCCTCCGCTCTGCTCCTCGGTGCTCCAGCCCAGCCCAGCCCAGCCCAGCGTTCCCGGGGACGGCCTTGCACTTAGCGCGTCAGACCCTTCTGTGGGCTCGAACTTGGGCCTCCTGGGTCTCCCGCTGCCCAAAGGAGAGCAACGGGTTCATCCCTTCACTCAGCAGCTCTGCCTAGTAAGCGCCAGGAACTATTCTCAGGTGGGGGATGCCACCAAAACCGGTTTGGCTCAGGATAGAGCGTCAGCCTGCGGGACTGAAGGGTCCCGGGTTCGATTCCGGTCAAGGGCATGTACCTTGGTTGCGGGCACATCCCCAGTAGGGGGTGTGCAAGAGGCAGCTGATGGATAATTCTCTCTCATCGATGTTTCTCTCTATTCCTCTCCCTTCCTCTCTGTAAAAAAATAAGATATATTTGAAAGGAAGGAAGGAAGGAAAAGAAAGAAAGATGGCTGTGGGTGCCGGGGGGAACGGCGGGGAGAAGGGAGCAGGGCTGGGAGGGTGGTTCCTCCACAGACGGTTCTGGGGCCTCTGCCTCTGTGAACACACAGCCAGGAACAGTCAGAGAAACAAGTTATAAGTTAAAAAAGAAAGAAAGATTTCAGCCGAAGCTGGTCTGGCTCAGTGGAAGAGCGTCGGCCTGGGGACTGAAGGGTCCCGGGTTCGATTCCAGTCAAGGGCATGTACCTTGGTTGCGGGCACATCCCCAGTGGGGGGGGTGCAAGAGGCAGCTGTTCGATGTTTCTCTCTCATCGATGTTTCTAGCTCTCTATCCCTCTCAATTCCTCTCGGTGTAAAATCAATAAAATATATATTTTTTAAAAAAAAAGTTAACTAATTCCAGTAGTACAAAAATTAAAAAAAAAAAAGAAAGAAAAAGAAAGAAAGAAAGAAAGAAAGAAAGAAAGAAAGAAAGAAAGAAAGAAAGATAGATTTCAGAGAGAACGTGGGCTCTGAAGGGAACAGGCTGACGTGAGAGGCCTGGGGAGGAGGGCCTGTTGTGGGCAGGCTGAGGGGGACATGGAGCTGGGACCTGAGTGGCCAGATGGAGAGCTGGCTGTGAGCGGAAGGCGCCGGGCAGTGTGAGGTCAGAGAGGGGGCAGGGGGCAGTGAGAAGGCAGGGAAGGAGGCTCTGATCCCAGCCCAACACCCTCCGCCTCCGGAGCGGCTCCCACGCCCCCCCCCCCTCTCTGATGTCCCACCCAGCGGGCATCGGACGTTCCTCCCCGGCCCTCTGACCCCCGCCCTCAGGCATCTGCGGCTTCCTGACCTTCGGCGCGTCTGTGGACCCCGACGTGCTCCTGTCCTACCCCTCCAACGACGTGGCCGTGGCCGTGGCCCGCGCCTTCATCATCCTGAGCGTGCTCACCTCCTACTCCATCCTGCACTTCTGTGGCCGGTGAGCCCCGCCCGCGGGGGTGCTCCCCGAGGCCCCTGAAAGCCCATCAGCCCGTGGTCCTTCGGCCGTGTATGGACCTGTTTGGAGAAGGAGAAACAGAAGCCCACAGGGGGGAAGTCAGTGCCTACCCCCAGCCGGGCCTTACCTCCCCCTTTGTCCCGTGGTCCCCAGAACATTCTGTGAGTCCTCTGAGAACCTCTAGTCCAGATCCCTTTCTGAACACCACCGCCTGGGGGTCCCAGGCCCTTCCCTTTGAGGAGAATGGAATGGACTCGCCCAGGGGTCACGTCCTGGGCCAGGCAGGGCCCTAAGCCCTTCACGTTCACCCCCACCCAGTCCCCAGGCAGCCCCGAGACCGCATCCGGGCCACTTCACAGAGAGGAGCAGGCTCACCCCGTTCCACCCAGGCAGGGAGCTGATGGGGGGACTGTGAGCAGGGGTGCCTCTGCCTCTGAGCCCCTCCCTGTGTGCAGGGTGGGGGGACTGTGAACAGGGGAGCCTCTGAGCCCCTCCCTGTGTGCAGGGTGGGGGGACTGTGAACAGGGGAGCCTCTGAGCCCCTCCATGTGTGCAGGGGGGGGACTGTGAGCAGGGAGCCTCTGAGCCCCTCCGTGTGTTCAGCGGGGGGGACTATGTGCAGGGGAGCCTCTGAGCCCCTCCGTGTGTGCAGGGTGGGGGGACTGTGAGCAGGGACCCTCTGAGCCCCTCCCTGTGTGCAGGGTGGGGGGTCTGCATGCAGGGGAGCCCCTCTGTGTGTGGAGGGTGGGGGGACTATGTGCAGGGGAGCCTCTGAGCCCCTCCCTGTGTGCAGGGGGGGGACTATGTGCAGGGGAGCCCCTGAGCCCCTCCGTGTGTGCAGGGCGGTGGTCGAAGGCCTGTGGCTGCGCTACCAGGAGGTGCCCGTGGAGGAGGACGTGGGCCGGGAGCGGCGGCGGCGAGTGCTGCAGACGGTGGTGTGGTTCCTGCTCACCCTGCTGCTGGCGCTCTTCATCCCCGACATCGGCAAGGTCATCGCGGTCATCGGAGGCCTGGCCGCCTGCTTCATCTTCGTCTTCCCAGGTGCGGGCCCTGGCGCCCCGCAGCGCTCCCTCCCTTCCTCCCCCTTCCCCTCTCTCTCCCTCCCTTTCTCCCTCCCTCTCTCCCTCCCTCCCTCACTGGCTCACCCACGGGGAGAGGAGCCTGGGGGTCACCCGCCACAGGCTCGGGGCTGACCCGGCCCAGCACCCCCTGAGAGGAAGACGCTGTTGTCTCCGCTTCCTGCCGAGGAGGTGGGAGGGTCACGACGTGAGCTCACCTAACGGGTCACAACCTTCCCCACGCCAGGCCCGCCTCCGTCCTCAGCCTGTACCCTTAGTTCTTTGGCTCCCTGGCAATCAGGGTTGTGGCTGGCGAGTCCCCAGAGGGCAGTGGGGTCTGTGGCCGCACCCTGACCCAGAAGCCGGGAGACCTGAGTGTCTGGCACCAGGCCCCCGGGAAGTTGTCCCATCCGCGCAGCCGTGCCTTCCACTCGTACCCAGCTTATTCCACCCCGAGAGCCCTTGGCACTCAGTGTGGAGCAAGGGGCCACGTCTGCTCAGACGCCCCGGGAAGGGTCTGGCGTGCTGCCTCGTTAGCCCTGAGCTGCGGGCAGCTCTCCACGTGCCTGTGGGATGCCGGCCTCTCCGGGAGAGCCCAGGCCAGGCCCGGGCCGGGCGAGGGGGCGGAGGTGGAATGCCAGGCCTTTCTCCAGCCCCGCTGCCTCTCGGTAAGCAGGGAGCCGGGCCGGGGAAGGGGCCCAGCCAAGCTCTGAGGCCGCCTCTTCTCTTGCAGGGCTGTGCCTCATCCAAGCCAAGCTCTCCGAGATGGAGGAGGTCAAGCCAGCCAGGTAAGGCAGCGCCGCCGTGGTCCTCGGGGAGGCGCCACCCTGGGAGGGAGGCTGGGAGGGGGCCTTAAAGTCACAGGGGTCAGGAGACTACACTCTTAGGAAAACTGAGTTTTTAAAAAGACTTTTTAAAAAAAAAAAAAATTTATATATATATATTTTATTGATTTTTTACGGAGAGGAAGGGAGAGAGATAGAGAGCTATTATAGAAACGTCAATAAGAGAGAAACATCGACCAGCTTCCTCTTGCACATGCCCGCAACCAATGTACATGCCCTTGACCGGAATCGAACCAGGGACCCTTCAGTCCGCAGACCGACGCTCTACCGCTGAGCCAAACCGGTTTTGGCTAAAAAAATGTTTTATTGATTTCAGAGAAGAAGGGAGAGGTAGAGATAAAAACGTCAATGATGAGAGAGAATCTATGACCAGCTGCCTCCTGCATGCCCCCCACTGAGGATCAAGCCCGAAACCCGGGCATGTGCCCTGACCAGAATCGAACCTTGGACCCTACAGTGCACAGGCTCACACTCCAGCCACTGAACCAAACAAGCCAGAGCTAAAAATACTTTTAGAAAAATGGGTAATGTGCTAGTTATGACCGTCCAAGCGCTCCTGGACGGCTTTAGAGAGAAAAAGCGGAATCCCTCCTCACCCACAGCCCAGTTGCCACCCTCCCCCCGCCCCAGCTCCCTGTCCCAGCGTGGTCCGCCCTCCCGGCTCTGCATGTGTGCCTTCTGTGTGCACTCGGCTGCAAAATATGTGTACACGGACACATGGGATTCAGGGTCTCGCTGTGTGTTTTTCGTTTCTTTGTTTTTTAAATACATTTTTATTGATTTTTGGAGAGAGAGTAAGGGAGAGGGAGAGGGAGATAAGAAACATCAGTGAGAGAGGAACATCATGGATCGACTGCCTCCTGCAGGCCTCCTACTGTGGACGGAGCCCACAACCCAGGCACGCGCCGTGACTAGGGATTGAACTGCAACCTCCGGGTTCATAGGTCAACGCCCAACCACTGAGCCACACTGGCCGAGCTGTTTTGTTTGTTTTGTCTTAATGACATGGCTCACCCTGTGACCTGCTTTTCCCCCAAACATCTTTCCATCCAGAGGCACACATGCTACCTGGTAATCCTGGTCCTGCTCTTGACCTCCTATGACGGGTCCATGCCAGTCGGTCTTGATCTCCTTACTGTGGAGTAGGGGTCAGATCCCTGGCGGCGCACACCTTTGTGTGAAAAGTCAGCGGTCACCAGTTGGTGTTCCATGAGGTCCGAAAGGTTGGCGACCGCTGGTTTAGGTGATTACGGTGACGTGTGTGTGTGTGTGTGTGTGTGTGTGTGTGTGTGTGTGTGTGAGAGAGAGAGAGAGAGTGTGTGTCTGCAGAGTCACGGGTGGGTTGATTAACAGGCCTGCCTCTCCCTCTGCCCCCAGCTGGTGGGCGCTGGTCAGTTACGGAGTCCTCTTGGTCACCCTGGGAGCCTTCATCTTCGGCCAGACCACTGCCAACGCCGTGTTCGTGGACCTGTGGGCGTGACCTCGGCCGCCTCTGCGCCCAGGAGCCCAGCCCAGAGCTGCGGGGCCACGCTGAGTCGGGGCTCACTCCCCTCTACCGACGGGATGATTCCAGCGACGGATCTGGGCTGCCATCGGGCCCCACAGTCTGGAGCCGGCAGCACGGGCATGTGCCCTGGCTGGGAATCGAACACACCAGCTCCCTGGCTGCTCCCCCGTCCCGGCGGGGCCCTGGATGGCGGGAGGAGGGTCACGGAGCCTCCCCGCCTCCCCCAGTGCTCAGCTCCTGCAGGCCTGGATGGAGCCCACGGTGAAGAGGCTCAGCAGGACTCACAAGGCACCAGCTTGACTTCCCTCTGGTGAAGGAGGGCGGGCCGATGGGGCGCCCCTCTCCAGAGCGCAGGGGCCGTGCCCCTTCCCCAGGACCCCACGCCTGCTCCCATCCGTCCGTGGACCAGCCAGCAGTGGCTTCCTCTGGGCTCTGGCCAGCCCCAAAGGGAGCGCTGAACTCGCACAGATGCACAGAGGCAGCTAGAGTTCCTGCCTCCCCCGCTCCCCTCTGGGCCCACGGTGAGCCCACACCCTCTGTCCCACGGCTGACCGTGAGATTCCCCGCGGTCCCGGGCCTCACCGGGTGTCTCTCCCCAAACCTCAGGGTCCAGGCGGCCCTCTCCGCCTCCATCCCCAGACCAAGTCACCAAGTCTCATGTTTACAAACGGTGCCCGCCCAGGACCAGGGGCCCTCCGTGCCTCGGTGCTGCGAGCACTCCGCCCCCCCTCCGCCTCCGTTAGCTTTCCCCGTGGTGGGGGGAGTGGGTGTTGTGCTTTTTCTCTCGGATTCCAGACGGACCCCTCTTTTCAGAGGCACAAAAGCGGGTGATGGAGAAGGCCGGGGACCTTTCGGACCTGTGCAGGCCAGGCTGGTCAGGGTCAAGGCGATCCTGTCTGCTCCCCTCTCCTCCGATGATGGCTTCTCTCTGCCTCCCCTGCCATCCCTGGCCCAGAGTTGTCATTGGCTGGGCAGCGTGGGAGGGCAGCTCCGCCAGCCTGGAACTTTGAACCTGGATCTTGTCTGCTCTTCCCCGAACCCATCCTTTCTTCACCCCCACACCCCGCTTTGTAGCTCAATCTCCTGCTCGCATAAATGTTGGGGGGCGGCTGCCAAGCCCTCCCTTGTCAACCTCCTCAGCTCCACACATCCAGGCCTGGCCTCGGGGGCCTGTCAGTCACCCTGAGGTCACACCTGGTTCTGCCCCCGGTATGGGGACCTTGGCCCGCAGCCCACCAGTCAGGGCACTCGGCTGCAGGCTGATGGGAGGCCCCATAGGCGTCTGCCCAGCCCCCTCACACTGGCAACCTGCCTCTCCTCACCGCCTGGCCCCTGGGGCCAGGGCCCCTCTGCTGGTTCCTCTCAGCCCAGCCTGCTGCACCTCGCCAGGCCCCGCCAGCACCCATCCCCCGGCGAGGTGGGGAGGATGTCGCAGCCAGCATGGCCGCCTGGCCTCCCGATGCTGGATCTCGGGGTGGAGGGAGGTAAGGGAGTGATGATGGCACAGAATCATTCAGGGGAAAGGGCTGGGACCCGGCCTTTCGGCCCAAACTCAGGAGCCCCAACCCTCCCTGCCGGGGCCTTTTACTGTCTCTTTTCTACTCGGGCACATTCAGACCAGGGGAGGTGGTTAATAAAAAGGAGCTTGTGCTCCGAGCTGTGTGGCCTGTGTCTGGTGCTGGGGACAGAGTCCGGGCCCTGCTGACCGGTGGGGCGGGGTGAAGGTGGAGGGAGGGGTGAGGGAGGGCCTTCAAGCTTGTCTATAACTCCTGTCTCAGGGATGGCTACCGTCCTGTTCTCTTTACCAAGTTGGAAACCTACGAGTCTTGTTTTTTAAATCCTAGTCGTGTTTGTTTGTTTGTTTTTAATATGTTTTTATTGATTTCAGGGAGAGGAGGGGGGAGAGAGAAGCATCAATGATGGTAGGGAGTCATTGATCAACTGCCTCCTGCACGTGTCTCCTCCCCGCCCCCAGTGGGATTGAGCCTGCAACCTGGGCCTGTGCCCTGACTAAGAATCAAACGGTGACCTCCTGGCTCATCATTCTCAGTTGGTCTTCACGACTCCATGAAGGCGCGAAAGTGAGGAGATGCTAAATACTGGCCCAGCAACAAACATGAAGTGAACCGAGCCAGACAGCCTCTCCCACACGTGGATGAACAAGGGACTGGTGCTCTCAGCGACCCCAGGAGGCAAGCTCAGGAACTACAGCCCCCACGTTGGCACCAACACCAGATCCTGGGGTCACTCTCCCAGCCAGTCCGGTCCAGTGGGGTGATGCCTGCTGGCAAGTGGCTCTGCTCGTTCCCCGATCTCTAAAGCAGAATGGAAACCACGGGCCTTATTACCTCCCAGGGAGAGGGGCCCAGTGTAAAGAAAGCACATGACGCCCGCCCGGCAGGTAGTTCAGTGGTTGAGCAGCACAAGCCCGGGTTGTGGGCTGGGTCCCCAGTGGGGGGCGTGCAGAAGGCAGCCAATGGAAGATCCTCATCACTGATGTTTCTGTCTCTCCTCTCTGAAATAAACATATTTTTAAAAAAGAAAGCTCATGCCAAAACCAGCTTGGCTCAGTGGATAGAGCATCGGCCTGCGGACTGAACGGTCCCAGGTTCGATTCTGGTCAAGGGCATGTACCTTGGTTGTGGGCACATCCTCAGTAGGGAGTGTGCAGGAGGCAGGTGATCGATGATTCTCTCTCATCGATATTTCTAACTTTATCCCTCTCCCTTTCTGTAAAAAATCAATAAGATATATATATATATATATATATATATATATATTCCATTGATTTTTCACAGGAAGGGAGAGAGATAGCCAGAAACATCAACGAGAGAGAAACATCGGTCAGCCTCCTGCACCCCCCCCCCACTGGGGATGTGCCCGCAACCAATGTACATGGCCCTGACTGGAATCGAACCCGGGACCCCCAGTCCGCAGACCGACGCTCTCCACCACTGACCCAAACCGGTTTCGGCTAAAATATATTTTAAAAAAATAAAAAAGAAAGCTCATGATGATGACCGAAGTGTTTTCTAGCCAGAAATCCATGTTTAGAGAAGACACATGAAAACTCAGTTTCTCCTTGTGGGGAGACAAGGCTGGGGAGTCGGGGTGCTTTCTCCATCTTGACTGCACAGACTGAGTTTATATCGGCCCAGGTGCAGATCCTGATTCACTGGGTCGGGGGGTGGGGGGAGAGGGCCGGGGACTTCATTGCTGAGGCTCCCAGGGCCACCCACGCTCTGCTCCGGGACCACACCTTCAGCAGCAGGGACTGGAGGCCAGAGCACAGGCTTCGGCCCCGGAGAGGCCTGGGTTGGACCTCAGCACTGCCTTACCCCGCAGGAACTCAGGGAAAGCATTGCCCTTACACCATGGGAACTCAGGGAACCCGCTCATGTCTCTGAACTCCACTTTCCTCAACGCTAGAGTCCGAATGAGGGTGTTCACTTTGTTGATGTAGATATTCTAAGTCTCAAAGGCAGATGTGGTCCCCTCTCTCCTGGGAGGAGTGTGCCACTGCAGTTTCTCCTTTTTGGTCACTAGCGGTCGCCATGGTGTAATTCTGCTTTTGGAAGTGAGGCGCCCAGGCTCAGAGGAGGGACTCCAGGCCTCTGAGTCACTGGGGCTCCTGGTGAGCGCGCTGCTGCCTAGGAATGAATGAATTCTAAGTGAAATCCTTACGCGGGGCAGGGCTGCCTCTAGATCCTGGCCTCCAGTCTGGTGGGGGACTCAGACCAATCAATCACAGAAACTTACAGTTGTGCCTAACAGTGTGCTAGATGTAGGAATAACTTACTGCTAAGATACAATGAAAAAAATTATATTAGAAATCTTTTTCATTGTATCTTAGCAGTAAATTATATATATGCTACTAGACGCCCAATTCATGAATTCGTGTATGGGTGGGGTCCCTCGGCCTGGGGCTGATTGGGACTGATTGGGACTGTCTCGCCCAGTCCCAATTGGGACCAATAGGTGCCCTCAGCTGTACATGCCCTTGGGACCCTTGAGTCCGCAGGCCAACACTCTATCCAGTGAGCCAAACCGGTTCGGGCAGCTCTTTCTCTTTTTCTTAAAAAAAATTTTGTCCTAACCGGTTTGGCTCAGTGGATAGAGCATCGGCCTGGGGATCTCAAAGGTCTTAGGTTTTATTCAGGTCAAGGGCATGTTCCTTGGTTGCAGGCACATCCCCAGTGGGAGGTGTGCAAGAGGCAGCTGATCGATGTTTCTCTCTCATCCATGTTTCTGATTCTCTGTCTCTCTCCCTTTTTCTCTGTAAGAAAACCAATAAAATATATTTTTTAATTTTTTTAAATCAATAAATAATTTTTTTAAAAACCTACACACATGGCTGGGACCGGTTTGGCTCAATGGATAGAGCGTCGGCTTGGGGACTGAAAGGTCCCAGGTTCGATTCCGGTCAAGGGCATGTACCTTGGTTGCGGGCATATCCCCAGTAGGGGGTGTGCCAAAGGCAGCTGATCGATGACTCTCTCTCATAGATGTTTCTGACTCTCTATCTCTCTCCCTTCCTCTCTGTACAAAATCAATAAAAAATATATATTTTTAAAAACCTACATACATGAATAGCTTGATTTTTAAAGCTTACAATTGTTATTAAATATGAATTGAATGTCTACTATAGACCATGTTCTAATTCTAGCGTTTCTGCTTATTCCGAGGCCTTAGGCGGTACTACGTGGGTCTTGATTTGCTTATCTGTCTATTACAATATTTGCTATAGCAGAGACTGCCCGGCCCTTCCTTTGATAACAATAGAACTTGGGAAACAATGGAAGTCAGACACATTCTGCCAGCCGTTCCTGGCACAGCGTTCCTGAAACCCTCGGAAGTTCTCCGTGGTAAGAGTGTCTTTGTTCCGAGGCAGCCGCTCCGGGCGGACTCCCGGGTGGGGCTGGTCCTGAGAGAGACCAGGCCGGGAGGAGAAGCTTGGGGTTTTTCAGACCCAT